CAATGACTTACTATGCTCTTGGGAAAGACAAGCCCAGCTCGTTCATTACTTCCGCGATGCAAATGGTGGCTGAGCGAGAGACACCAACTCGACAGTGGACTAGCGTAGCAGTACCGTCCAATTTCCCGCGTTCTAGAACAACCATGTGGTTAGAGACAGGCCGCACCCTGGTTGTTGCCCCACTCACCAATAAATTTTAAGCAGCGATCGAACTCATCCCAGAGAGGATCAACCCCATTGTCCTGAACCCGGTCGATGGAAAGCAGATTATCATTCGGCCAATCGAGCTTCTTCTTCAAGTCGTCAGACCACGAGATAGACTCTCCGACGCTAAGGATCCTTGTAATGCCTAACTCTCTGAGTAGCTCGGGATTGTTTGCGTGGCCGAGATTACCGAGGTACATATACGGTAGGATCCTGCTGGGTAGGCTGCCATCGATACGCGATAACCACTGTGGCTCAGAAATAGACAGGAAATCCCCTCGCCAGCGAGGTGATGCCTGGAGAATGCGAGGTTGGATTGCCGTGAGAAGCGCAACGTCCGTTGGGTACGCGAAGAAATTGCGGCCCTTCTCTCGATGGAGCTTTACCCATGCATCGTGTACTGGTAAACCTTCGGCATACATGAAGTAAGCCAGACCAAGTAGCGATGATTCGGTATAGCCATCCGTGCAGTGAATCAAGACCTTCTGCGGTCGTGCAATGGTCGTCAGCTCGATGCTTCCACCCTCACTACCTTTTTCTTCCTTTGCCTTGTTGACCTCTTGAGGATTCGCAACCTCAAATATCCATTTACATGTTTCCATCAGGCTGTCAACTTCGGCATGAGACCATGTCGGAGGCATAATACTTCCGGAAGAAGGAAACTCAATGTGTAGAGGTGGATGGTTTGGATCTCCAAGCCCGGTCCGTAAATTATTGAGAGCCCTCGGATCGGGGACGTGAGCAAGGTCGCTCGCTTCAATGTGAATATCGAATACCTGATCCCCCGAAGATTCTAGCGCAGCGTCGGGTGTAGGGCCCATGTACACGTTGGCGCTGATTTCGGACGCTTTCGACATTGCACACATCTCCATTCGCTCCCAGTAAACTGGCGGCGTTAGCTGCTACGTGAGACTGCTACTTGGATAGAAAGACTCACAGAAATCCATAACTCTTCCGGTCATACATCCTTCAGAGTCTACCGCTACGAGACTGGAATACTTTTGTTCCACTAGGCCAAAAGGATCTAACCGAGTCAGCGTTCTTATCCAAAATCTTATCTCGTCGTTTCGCGAGGCATCTTATCCGATAAAAAACTTACCAGCCAGCATGAAAGTATTGAATAAACCTCGTTGGATTCCATTCTTTACTTCGTAGGCCCGCTGGGCCCTGGATATTTTTTTGGCTAGTGCGATTGTGTCATACGGATGCGTCTTCTCGTCACCGTAGACAATAATATCTGACACCATGGCCATCTTACAGGCCTGAATTTGGAAGTTTCGGACGGAAAAGCCATCTCTCGGATCACATTCGATAAAAGAGCTAGAATCATCCGTCATACCCTTGTATTGGAGTAGTTCTTCAGGGGCAATTGCACCCTTCAACTTTGACGAGCTCAAGTCACCACCAGTCTTAACGATTGTGATACCTCGAATGCACTTGGGGACTTTTCGTATGCTTTTTCGGCGAGACACGAAAAAGGCAAGTTGTATCTGGTTCTCTGCATGAAGGCCATGAAGCCACGGAAATACCTGCTCGGGATAAGGTAGAGGCTGGGTAGATATGTGCTCCAAGGCTTGTGCTAGCCTCTGTGCACTAATCATCCATACAGGTGGGTCTCTGGAGTATTCGCTGCAGTAATTGCTCGGAGGGTAGGTGATTGAAGATGTTTCGATAAGACAGTCCTTAGAGGGCGGTGATGCTGGAGGCGTCTCAAGGCCTCGGGCTGGTACCGGGCCTGGAGAGCAAACGGGAATGTGCTTGTTGGGAACTGCTGCTGGAGTTCCTCGTGAGGACGTGTTCAATGTAAGGTGGGGGGGTGGTGTTGAGGAACGTCCGGGCATCGGAGGTGCCCTAGCTACCGCAGCAGCCATACCGACAGATGTCCGTGAGATCTAAGTATTTTGAGGGCGGTAATTGTGGCGAACAGAAGTGAAACAGGCTGAACGACGCTCGAAGCCGTGTAGGAGGCCGCGGATCGCGAATGGCACAGGAGGGCCGTCTTGTGTAATGGTCTCAGGAAGCAACAGCCTGCGGGCGGCCGCAGCAGCGATTGTGTCGACGCAGAGTGATTAAAGGCTAGAATAGGTGAATGGAGGTGCGACGATGCAAGTGAAGTGTCACGATATCGCGAGAAAAGAGGCAACGGGTCTTGAAAGAGCAATTCGTGAGCATGAGTGGCAATCTTCTGTGACAATGGTGCATGGATTCGTACCTGGACGAACAGTTTCGGGCTTTGCATGAAGTGTTTCAACGCGGCACTGGAGTGATCGACACACGATGGTTGAAACGTGGGTCGAAGGGCTGAGGGCTGATAGTAGATAGCAGGCTGTAACAAAGATGCACAATGACTTGCACGCCGGACAGCGCAGGAATGGCTAGGGCTTGGGGTATGGGTGGATGATAACGAGCAGCATTTTGAAGAGGAAGAAGGGCCGCGGGAGTGGTGGGAGTGGTGGTACAGATGGCAGCGAGGGAATGCCTCTGTTTGGTCCCCGCCCTCATCGATTCGAACAGCGCTATGCTGGAAGCTCGCCGTCACCCCAGTTATCAGTGGGCCAGTGGCTTTGCGCGGAAGGCTCGGTTGGCCCAGCCAAGTGACTGGGCGAGGGGGTCAGTGCGAATAAGGCACAGCGCATGCAGCCATCAGCCCTCTTCTTCCGTCCCGAGTCCAACATTGCCAGCCTTTATTTTAGGCCCGAGCACACCAATGCTATCCTTTCTATGCCCGTTCGGCGTCGACCAAGACGCACAGCAATTGGGGGGGGGGAGGGGGAGGGGCGGCTGTAGAGCCAGCGCTTGGCCAGCTTATCGGACGTTATCACACCATCCCTAAGGTCAGACACCAACACGCTGTCGCACCCTGCCCAGACGAGGGGACGGGGGACGTGGGATGGGAGACGAAGAGGCGAAGAGACGAAAAGACGAGAATAGCAGTGCATCTCTACCTACCTCGACGCCCGCCTCAACGCCCGCCTCTCTGCGGGCTGTAGCGGCGACTGCGATGGGCAAGACGCGAGCTGACGCCTGAGGCCGTAGAGCGGTGGCTCCAGCCACCAGCCAGCTTTTGCCGTGCCGCGTCTGCGCGCACCGACATCGTGCGGTTCACTGAGGACGACGCAGACAAGCTTCAGTCCATCAGCGGGGGACACTGCGGAGTAGCTGCGCAGTCGCTGCAGCCGTTTGCTGCCAACCCGGACTATCCCAGCCACTATCCCAGGCCATTTTGGCGTGGCAAGGTAGGCCCTTGCGACTTACTGCGATCGTCATCCCTCGCCTTCGAGCTCTTCTCGCCTTACCCCACAACTCGATGCGTACAGTCAAATTGCCATCCAGACTGTTTGATCGCCACCGTTTCGCCACTCGCTCACCTCCAGCAGCGCCAGCACAAACCAAACCCCACCTCCCTGTGAACAATGTCTTAGCTCTTCTTACCCACCCGCTATCTACCATCGCAAGTCAGCCTCTTTCTTATACTCCCCTACCGGCTAATTGCTTATGATGTCGCCTGTCTAACCGAATTCATGTCCGCCGAGCCAAGGGGTGTGGAGAGCTTGGACGTGAAACTGATTAATCCACCACCTTAGGCTTGTCATGTTTCGGATAAGGACGAGCCATCCTTGACCCTCTTCTTTACCGTCCGTTTAAAAGATTCGACACATTCGGGTTTGATGGTGTCAAACTTTCTCTTTGTGCCAGGCAGTTAAACCACGTCATTTTCTCATTGGCCCCGTATACTCATGCGTCATATCTTTCCTCGCCGATCTCCCGTCTGAACATTCACTCGTCACCTTATTATAGCTTCAAGATAAAAAGTGTCTCCTGATTCTAGCAGCATTGACAAGCCCATACGAACACATCCGGAAAGGGCGAACGGCAATTATTGAGCGCCCCAGAAGAGGTGTGAACAAAGCGATAGAGCTAGAAGCTATTAGGAAGTCAATATTAGAATCATTAAAAAGCTTCCTGGGATGGATTGACAAGTCAGGCTAGAGTTATCGAGGTGACACCTTACCTACCTAGCCGGGTAAGGAGTGCCGTTAAATTAATTAGAGACAGTAGTTTTCTTTCATTTTCCCTTTTATTTCCTTGTTTCGGTATTGTCTTTTAGTTTTGTCGAGAAAAAAGTGAGGCCGCCGCTACAGAACCAAGAGCGTGCTACTTAATTAAGGGAATGCAAACACATAAATCGCGATCGCGTGGTGAATCTCATTTGCTTCTTTTTTTCCTTGCCCTTTTCCTTTTTCCTTTCTTCATTTTCATTTGTTGTTTTATTCCCAACACTTACACATGTTGATATTCAATTGGTGACGGTCTTGCGTCCAAATCACTACATATGTAGCGAATAAATGAAAAACGATAGCTGGGGCTTAAGGACCACGTCTAACTGCTGCGAAGGGCGGTTCTGCAGCCGCCATACATAGAATCGGAATCATACAATATCGTCGACAAAACGAAAAATCATAGCTGCAAAATTTTGAACGAAAAGTTCACATCCCGAATAGAATGCCCGGCTTTCATGATGCAGTAATACGCTGTCGAATACTAGATACCCTTGCTAGTGGAGTTCACCTCATAATGCTAACGAGCATTTGAAGCATCTCATTGGTGTAATCTACCACACCGCAGCTCAGCCGCCCCCTCTCATAAGCGAAATCCTAACCAGACCCACAAACCCACATCATCGACTCAAATCTTCCTCGCCCGCTGAAACTTTCCAACATATCATATAATGAAAATTTTTACGCTCACTCCAATCAAGTCAGTCTTCTGATCTAACAAGATCAGCAAGCGTCACTGGTCTTGTGGTCTAGTGGTATGATTCTCGCTTAGGGCAAACCTGAGTAAATTGCGAGAGGCCCCGCGTTCGAATCGCGGCAAGACCCCTTTTTTTGCTTCTAACGACGTCTTAGGCCCTGAGGGATTGTCTTGCAAACCCACCGTACAAGGGCGAAGATCTAGACGAACTTACTTTCCTTTTTGACGTTACGACGCATATAAGATAGAAAGCAGCTCAAAGAAACGCGGTATATACTACACTACTACTTCATCTTCAAACTCTACGGAACTCACTTTCTTATTTCCTTTGCACAAGCGTCAATAGAGGAAAGACACGCCTTTTACAACTCCCGAGGCTCGGCCGGATACCGTTTTAGAGATCTCATAACCCTCCTGACGAAGCTTAAAAACGCCCAGCCACTCGAGTACACCGGAGTACCAAGTGGCTTGTCACCGCATACTGTGAGACAGGGTTCCCAAGCGACGACAAAATTCCTTCCCGGGCCCATGGACTGCATGGATATATGCATAACTAGGGTTGAGAAGCAGCATGAGCTTTCCAAGAATTGCTCGGAGTATTCGGCAAATAGTACCGTTCCCCGACTCCGGAAGGGATTTTTGTATATATGCGTATGACCGAGATTTCATGTGTATAGTTCATCATATTAACTGCCAACACCGCACCCAATAACTAAGCTGCAACGCATTGGCGTTTGAGGCTGATACATATATAAGTGTATGCAAACATGGGATATTTCCTTCCTATGCTCCACTGTTTAGAGTTATTACATTGTCGCCTTATCTGACCTGAAAGTTGCATGCTCGGTTCCTACCCCCAATTTGTCCATAACGACTTCCTCACCTAACCTCGGAATATCAATAGACAATGCTTTGTATCACCAATCAGATTCAGGCCCATCCCAGCTTGTATATCCTTTTGCTCAAGCGACTCAACTATGTTCAGGTTTCAAGTCGTAGAGAAGTCTTCATTCAACCTTCTAACAATTGGAATTCCGACGGGAAAACTGTTGCTTTTGGCAAAAAATGCCTACGATATGGCGTACTTGCATCGGCGGAGGATGGCTGTCACTTCTGTTACACTATCTTGCGATACTCTAGGCGAGATGCACTTCCTAACCCTAGCTCACACATTAATAGTATTTTAGAAGTTACTTTTACTATAAACCACATGACTCTTAAACCACCGAAGTGTGGCGCTGATATATAAAGCAGGACCTAAGGTAACCAGTATGGCGAGGAACATACGTAATTAGCACTAACATATGTCATGCCAGGGTCAATCATCAGAGCAGATCGGAAAATTAGCTGCCTTCCGTATACTAAAGATAATACTCCAATTTCTCCATGGTTGGCTTCACAGTCAATCCATCCGACTGGCCGGGCTGAAATTGGTAATGAAAACTACCAATACTGCGCAATAAGCCGCGCTCGCTGCAAACAGCTCATGTCTCTTCGCTTTTGTAAGCAATGACATTGCCGCCGAGAACAACAGCGTGAATATAGTCAATACGCCTATTGCGGAAAACATAGACCGCGTATTTCCTAGACTAGTCAGGCGGTACATTGCAACAACGGGGAGGACTAAAAGAACGAAAATGACACTGGTTATGATGAAGCCGACAAGCTTCTCAACTCGAGATGGCGAGAAATAGTAAACGCGCTCGTCAGATGTTTTATTGAGTAGGTCTGGTGTACAGAAAATCTTCTAGAATATAGAATTAGTATATAGCCTTCTGGAATTTGATGTAAACAGAAGAAATCCAAAGCACGTACCCGAATCAGCTTACAGTCCAGTTTATGTAGCAGTGACTCTATCATGCCGTCGAAGCCGGCCCATTCTCGTCCATGACGAAGACTCAGGATATCTTCTCTTAGCCCGATATAACCTTCCTCCAGTTGGACGATAGGACGAACATTGTGGAACCACGTTCGCGCGCTTCGGTAATCGCGATCTGTTGGACGCTGGAGGGGTAGTGTTGAACTTCCTACTGGCTCAAAAAGACCGGTCCTCCTGGCGAAGCCAAGTAGGACATATTTATTGTCTGACAGGTAGTAATTCTCGGGCCTTAATGAGAAGCTCGTCTATATGCATATCAATTAGAATAGTTTGAACTCGTACTCTAGAAATACTTGCTATATTTCGACACTTGATTATGGAGTTCCTCCAGAACGTCCCTTCTCGTCCTTCTTTTTGTGCCTGTCTCTGATACTGCCTCTCGCGCCGTTTCAATATCTTCCTCCCGACATTGCAACCGTAGCCGCTGTTCGTCTGTATTGTCCTCGTTATCAAATTCGTCTAGCTCGCATTCAAGAGCTGAGATACTAGTCTGCAGGTCGAGGAGAAGGCAAGCGTGAACGTAACTGAATCCTCGATAAAGCATAAAGTTTTGCTCGCTGGCATTAAAAGCTGCAAGTCGCGGATATCCAAGAGGGCAGCTCTCCACTAATTGAGACTTTTTGTTAACTGTTTGCTGTATTAGATAGGTGGGAAGGTTTACATTGACGAATTCTTGTCTCCATATTAATTCCATTACTGCTTCTAACCCATAAAACAAGATTCTCCAGGAGTGTAAAGATTTTGCATCCTTGCGAGGCTGTAACTTAATTAGAAATACTCTGTTTACGGCTGAGAGGACGCACTGTGCCGTCTAGGCAGAGGAACCGAAGTACTGCCTGTGTTCTGAGCAGTCGGTGTAGTGGGGAAATTATTACACTTTTCAGTGCTTACTGCTGTTAGTTCCGCCATTATCTACTTTGGTATGTATTCTGTTAGAGAATATTTTTTTAATTATTTAGGGGGTCTTATATGTTCTCAACGACTTCACCGGAAAAGATTGCCAATGCGGTGAGGCTGAGGTTGCCTGTGTAGCCTGTCGCGAGACAATCAGATCAGCCGCAATAGTTACGAAATATGAACCAATCATGCTCGCTTCACTTCAACCTCTGGAAACCAGTGGCCGCCTCGATATAGAGCACCGCTCTCGTCTTTCAACTTGTATTCCCATTTCCCATCCTCAGTCTGCCTTCCTTCTGCTACGTTGAGCGTCTTCCTTCTCCTAAATGTAGACCCATCTTCAGTGACCGCAACAGCTTTCCCATCTTTGTAACTTCGTGGATACTAAATGAAGCATTAGTAATAAATTTCCAAGGGGGTAGCTGGGTACAAGGCATACGCACGTTCGCTTGTTGACCTTTTACGACACCTGCCCTGTTCGGAGATATCACCCGTGTAAGCGGCTCCTAATTTAATGGAACGATAAGCGGGGGTTTCTAGCCTTGCATTATGTGGTTTACCTTATCAGCCATATGTTCCGGTGGCCAAGAGCCTGAGGATGTGCCCGATGTATATTTACTTAATGCTATGGGTTCCCAGCAAAGGCACAGGCCGTTGCGAAAGCAAAGAAAGACGGCTTTAGTCGGGAGGTGGCGAAGGCGTGATAAAAGTATCACCTGTACTGTGTTAGGGTGTGCTTCTAGAGTTTGCCGCATCTTAAGAATCCGCCTTGCTACCTTCTCCCAGGGCTCCCAACGATAACGTTATTGATAAG